GGCTGCAGCCTACGGTCGCTGGCGACTCATGGCAACCTAGCTCCAGGTTGGGCTGTTGTTCAGCATCTTAGCTGTAGAGGGCAGTGTCACTGGCCCTCATATGTGAGATCTGAACTGGGGCCCTCTGGCGTCCCAAGCCAGCTCTTATTCAATGCGCCACTCGGCCGGCCCAACTTTTTGTAAGTTTTTAAACTGGCATTTTGATTGATACATAAGCTTTTGATGAGATGGCTAGAATGACCCAGTGCTACTGAATGTGATCAACTATCAGTAAACTATTACTAACCCCACACTATAATGACTTCAAAAAGTCAGTTACAGGGGCAGCCAGTTAGCTCAGTTGGTTAGAGCACAGTGCTTATAACACCAAGGTTGCCGGTTCGATCCCCACATGGGCCACTGAGCTGTGCCCTCCACAACTAGATTAAAACAACTACTTGACTTGGAGCTGATGGGTCCTGGGAAAACACACTGTTCCCCAATAAAAAAATTTAAAAAAAAGTCAGTAATAGTTTACTGATATTTACTCAAAAAAGTAAATAAGTCTTCTACTAAATAGCAAATCATTTAAACAATATGTACAACATATTATATGTTTCAGATCATTGGTTGTAACAATAGCATATGAATAAAGCTTTATCATTAGTTTGAAACTCATCTACTTTTCTGTAATTTAGGCAACATGCATGCATTTTGGAGACAATAGTGGAAATACACCATTAAAGATAGCTCCATAATAGTGGACAAAATTGTAGACAATGAGCCAGAAGCCACCAAATTCAAGTTTGATACCTTCAATTTGCTGAATATGAGGGGTTGTAACTTTGGGCTACAATTACTTCTATAAAAGGAAAGTATTAAACATGATGTAGGTTAATATCCCTGTCAGCTCTGAAGTACCATGTCTTGTATAATGTGAAATGCCCATTAGTGCAAAAAGGAAATATAATAATAAAGACCACAAGGAGAAGAGCAGATATTTAGCCATATGAGAATCCAGCTTAATTTTACATGAATGAGCTAGTCAGTTAGACATCAACAATAAAATGGTCGTTTTTCCAAAACCAAATTCATTCACCTGCACATCCAGTCAGGGCTATTATTCTCAAAAAAGATAAATTTACAAGACTAGCTACCACAAATACGTAGTTGCATGAAATTCCTTTTGCGCTTATAGAAATTAAAAACAAGCAATATAAAAATCCATAGACAAGAAGCCCTAGAAAATTAATGTTAACAAATGTTAACTATAAGAAACAAGGTACTACAACCCACTTTTTGATTAATTTCTAATTTATTTAACCAAAGTTAATCTACCCAGTGTACTGCAAAAAGTTTATTTGTTAACTAACTTACAGTGTTTTTAAAATGATCATTAATGCATGCAACAAATATTAAGTATTTATTATATGGTAGGTGCTATGCTAAATAGTGGCCATAATCCTCACTCTAGCGGAAAAGTCAAACAAATAAATGAGGAGGATGATAGCTTGTCATAAATAACTTAAAGAAAATAATCATGGTACTATGAAAAATGAATCATATGGGGATTCTAGTCTTCCTCTTATATGATGTATCCAAGAAACTGACAGACTAGGTATATATTAATTTGATAAAGTAGAATATTCCAATGCTTTCATGTTAGTGACGAGAAGAAATAGCTAAAATCATCATGCATTTTAAGCTGTCATATAGCATAACTATCCAGATTAAGATAAACATAGAACTTTAAAAATTACCCATAAATTTGCTCACTTAAATAAACATTCATTGGTTGTCTCCTTTGCAATGGAGATAGAATCTCAGAGGTCATTTAATTCAATTCCCTCAATAAATATATGTTTTAAAGATATATTGAGTAAAAATATTCTAAAAAGTAAATTGTTTTTCCAAAGATACCCAGTTAGTGGTGAAACAAGGCAGGGAATCCAGGCCTTCTTGAAATACAGTAAGTTTTGTGTTTCAATTATGTGTGGGTTTTAAAACAGTGACTGTTATTCAAAGCATGACCAACTAAAAAGCATTTGTACTTAGTGAAGTTTCAAGACATTTATTGAAAAATTGAATTAATTAAAATTGTGTGAACCTTCTGAAGATGCAAACATTCATGATCAGAATCAATGATATATTCATTATGGTCTTCTGGAAATTTGTGATTTAAACCAGAAAACAAAGATGTGAAAAGAGACAGGTATAATAATAAACATGTGGAAATACATCAGAAAATTCTTTATTTTTACTCAATGTAAATAAGCTTGTTTGCTAAAGAGTAAAGAGAAAAGAGACTTTTTTTCACTGTCCTCATTTGAGAGGGTTGGAAAGTAATGACTTCTACTCTTCCAGTTGAATAGAGATTTATGGGATAATTGATATGCCAATTGCTGTTGGAATTTAATTAAGAAGAAAGTGTTTGTGAGAAAGAAGACATTCTTGGCATGTAGTTTAGTCATTGAGAAAGTTAAGAGATTAAAGTAGGGCTTTCAGAATAAATATCAGAAGTTTTGCGAAAGAACTAAGATTCAAGGAGTGAAAATTTTGATCCTCGCTGATAGTAAATAAAAGCCATTATGAAGATCTGAAGAATAGGTTGTAATTTTTAAAAATTCCATTATCCTGAATAAACACACACACACACACACAATTTTTTTTTTCCAGTCTTCCAATCAACATCCCCGTGTCAATGGCCATGGGGCGGCGGGTAGGGGGTGGAATGGAAAAAGAGATGGGTGACAGAAGAAAAGTTGTACCATACCACCTAGCTGTCCTCACTTGAACTTATTGTTAAGATATAGAAAAATGTGTAAGAAGAAATGGTGGGTAGCTTTGTGCCTCTAGTAGCCACCTCTTTAGATTTCCCACCTTTATCTTTTCAGAACCCTTGTAATGGCTGAATGGAAACACATCTTACTAATCAACAAGGCTTTCCGGCCAGAAGCTGGCCAGGGTTTTGAAAGGATTCTAGAAGCAGCCGATTCTCCTGTGCCGCTGCTGCCCACGCACCACATTCTCTGCTCTTCCCTAGCCCTTTCCACGGGCTTACTGTTTACTCTTACATTTCGGTGTAAGGTCAAAGAGCCGGGGTCACAACCGAAAAGACCTTTCGTTACTAAATTGTACCTTTCCCCGGAAGCGAGCAAGGAGGCTTTCTCCAAAGCGATTCTGCTATCTAATCCGCAAAAGCCGCTGACTCTCCCAGCTCTTAGCCCTGTGGCTTCCTTCCCCCAACTCCTTCCAGCCGCCGTTTAGGCACTGCATCTGTTACTCACTGCGATTTTTTTCTTTTTTGTTTTTTAAAGGGTGAAGTGCTAAGCACCGCCTACCGTCGTGAGTGGCCTGTCATTCTGTCCTGCTGTGAGGTCGTGATTTGCGAGCTAGACAGAGTCGTCTGGCCCCGCCTCCGCCTCCCTTTGCCGCGCTAGCTGTCTCGGCTTTTATCCAAAGGTGGAGAGTGGGATTCGGGCCGGCGGCACTTGGAGCAGGTGAAGAAGCATCTTTGCTCCTGCTGTTGCTGCGGTTCTTTCTCCAAACGTGGGTCTGAGTCAGGAAAGGCAAACCTCTAGAGCTCCAGGGAACTGTTGCTCAGAACCTAGGCACTTCATACATTTCATGTCACCCATTATTCCGCTTTCACTGTGTAACTCACCTGCACATTTGTGATCCTTTGAATCTTCCGCTCAATGCCCAGAGCAGGGGTCGAAAGGGAATTTCAAGTGTTTGAAAGAGGGCCTCCGTGGACCGCGGGGAGCTGTCTATGGTGCTGAAGCGTTCCAGGCATTTGTCTCCACCACTACACGGAGTTAGGCTGCACATTTTCATTCCCGGCTTTCTCATTCCCCCATACTTTGGATAAGACTAATTTCAGGATCGTGAATATCTCTTCATATCATGGCCCCCGTGAGACAGTTTCGGACACTAGTTTCGGGATTTTATTTCTGGGAAGCAGCACTATTACTCAGGTGAGTCCACTTGTTTTTAACAGTTGGAGAGCTCATTAAAGCCTGTGTATTAGGTTGCAACCACTTGTTATTGATGAAACCAAGAATGCAATTAGAAATTGACCTGTTGAAAGCATCCCTTAAATAGTATTGTTTTCTATCTAAAAGTATCTAGCAATCTCTCTATTGAGATCTCTGAAAACATAATTTTTCTCTATTTTCAGTTATTAATGCATTTCTATAACTGATATATTATTTGCAGGTGAGATTACTCTGGAAAAATTATTTCCAAAATCAAGTTTTTCCTTCTTAAATTATTGTTAGATTTTCCTATTTTCTAAGTGAATTGTAAGCTCTGGATGTTATTCTCTTTTTGGAAGTTATAAAACAGTCATTAGAAATGGAACATTACTAACTTTTTAAAAGGCAAAAAAAAAAATAAGAGCATAAATATTTACTGAGCAGAGAAATTCTGAACGTTGTTGATATATCCAGAGGTTAAGTTACACAAATAAAAAAATAAAGGCCTTGCAAGTACTATTTTCTAATGAGCTTAGTTCAGGTAATACACAGAGGCAAAATCATAAATAAATCATTAGATATGTTATATGTTAAGAGTAATCTTTTCAGAGAAAGTAATATTATAAGAAACCTATTGAACAATAAAATTGTTCTATACCATGTCATTTTCTTATCATGTCCAGTCATATTTGGTAGGCCTCATTTTTTCTTTTTAATTAATTTAAAAAGAAGAAGAGAGATTAGGCAAAAGATCAGATAATTTAACCACTATTCTTAATTAAACAATGTATAAGCAAGATACTGCTCATATAGGTTTTTGAACCATCAATACAAATTTTATTTTACTACTATAATTACTATATTATTATAATTTTAATTTTATGGCTCATAAGTTTTTAAGAGGACTGAAATAAAATAATTAGAGTAACTAGGTTATGCGTATACTGATTTCTATTTGAAGTATGCAAATATTCTTTCCTGGGTTGCTAGGTCAAGTTTTCATCTTTGGGCACCTTAGAAAAACATAATGTATTTCATATAAACTACCTTACAGAAAGTTATATTATTTTGATATGCCTGTAATGACAGAAACTAGTTGTAAAGGTTATTATATTACTGAAATTATGGACTTTTTCTTAAGGGGTTGAACCATTGTAAACAAGAATATTTAAAGTGACAGTATTTTAATATGACTTCGTAAATTTTTGTAACTTTACATTGTCACGAATTTTATATATAGTGATCAAAGCAAAGAGTCGAGAACTTTTACATTTATGGAAATTTCATGGAAAGCAGTAAAAGATTTATGCTATAAGAGAAATTGATTTTACTCTATTTTTAGTATCTTAGATAATAATATTCATATTTATTTTTTCAAGAAATCAGAATAGCTTAGTTGATAGATAATTAGATTTGGGAAGTTTAATGTCAGTAACTAAAATGTTTTGGTCAATGTGGTCAAATTTGTATAATGGCAATTCTCCATGATATTTGTTATAATATATTCTTAGATATGTAATCTTCACCATTAGAGCCTCTGATTTTTGCCTAGTTTTATTGAAGTTCACAAAAATTGTATTTCAAATTCATGATCATGAATTTGAATTTATCTTCATGAATATTAAATAATTTTAGCTAAAAATGTTTATGAATAATCCAAAAATGTAATCCCTTGAAAAAGGGATACCCAATATAGAAGTTTATGTGATACATGTATTCTTTTTTTCTTTTAATTATTTTTATTATGAAATACACATTTTTTAGAATTAGTTTCAGCTGTACAACACAGTGCAATAGTTATACTTTTACCCCTCGAAGTGACAACTCCCCTCCCCCAATCGATACATGTATTCTTAATCAAGTTTTTTTCTTCTTCCATAAATTGAATAAAATTTTACTTGATCATAGACTAGCCTTAGAAGACTGCAGCTCATCACTCTCTGAAGAACTTTAATCTTTATAGGTTTTAAAGATTTAAACAATTTTTGAGATATAACATGTACCCAAACAGGTGCACGAATAACAAGTTTCACAAAAGTAACACACTTATATAGAGATCACAGATTAAGAAGTAGCATTGCCATTATCACAGAAGCACTCAGACTACCCTTCCCACCTCCATATCCTTTCCCAGGCACTACTTTGCCCAAAGATAACCACTAGCCTAACTTATGAAACAATAAATACGCTTTTCCTGCTTTTGTACTTTATATAAATACTCAATTGAATCTGCTTTATTTTTATGAACATTATGTTTATGTGACTTATCCATATTGGTGGATGTAGCAACAGTTTGTTTATTCTCATTGCTGTATGGTATTCCATTATATGAAGTCATGACAATTTATCCATTATCCAATTGAGAAATATTTGGGTATTTTTTAGGTTTTGGCTAGTGCTGCTACAAACATCCTTGAACATAACTTTTTGTTAATACATGTGAATACATGCATTTTTGTGGGCTGTAAGGGTTGGGCCCAAGGCTTTCTCTAGGGGAGGAATTGTTGTATCGTAGGGTGGTTTAGTGAATACTGTATAGGTTTAGCTCTTTAGTGGACAGTGAAAGTTTTCCAAAGTAGTTACACCTATTTATACTGTTACCAGCAATGTTTGATAATTTCCATTGCTATTACTAGTACAAAATTTAATCAGTGCAATATTATTATAAAAATTTCTAGTACTTTCTTAGACTATTGTTGCAAGTCCACAGATGATATTTTAGTTCTTTCATCTTGGCACAATTTCTAGTTTTTAGTAAACAGGTTTTATTAAGGCAAAAACAGCAGAACAAAAATATTTACTAACATAATACAATTAGAAGTATTCATTACCAGAATATATCAGGATAAGAATATAATTTTTATTGAGGAAGATAGTTCTTTATTAATAAACATGTGAGAAAATTGTATAAACAGACAAAAATAATCTGAATATCTTAGTAGTGAAGTTTTATAAAGTTTAACACTTTGCTCAGATATTGCTCTTTTCTTGGAAAAAATTCTTGTATGGCTTTTGGGTCCTAGTTCTCATATTAATAAAATAAAGAACAAAACACCAGTGTTCAGCTTTCTTTGAAATGTAGATAAGTGATGATTATGAAGAGCTTGTGGAACAAATTCCAAAAGCAGGGGGACTGCCAAAAAATTTTTGTTTAAATTAACTATTTTCATAACATAAAATTTTGATTTTCATCTTTACAGTTTGATATCAATATAGACTTGCTATGTGAATAAACTATGATACATTGTGAAAAACTCAACATGTGAAATTAAGACTTCATGATAATCACAAATAAAATTTTTTTTGGTTTACTTCAAAGCCTAAGAAAAACATTTTGGCATAGAATTTCTTGCTTTTGCTTTTGGTATGTTTTGGAGGCTGAGGAAAATTCTTTTTTAATGTTAGCTCTATTTTCTTATGTAAGATACTGAAGAAAAATGTACTTCAAGAAATAAACTTTTACTATTATGGGATTTCTTATGTTCAGGTACAATAGCAAGATTCTGTGTAGCTTTCAAAAATTATGCTACACGTAATACATGTTTCTTCCCTTTGTGTCTTTACCTAATCATGTATTTTCTCAAGTAAAGAAGGATTGTGGCCCAGCTGTCTAGACAATACCTCAGTTTGTTCTGCAGATTTAGAAAATAGCCTGTAAAATACTTTCTCTTCTACATAATTTTTCTCTCCCTTGACCACACAAATATGTACTGAGGCAACTCAATCAACAAATATGTGATTAATATGTAATGTTAAGCAATTCAACAAAATTCTGTGCACAAATACTTGTGCTGGGTACAATTTGCCTATGAGTGATTGGGAAACTACCACCTTTTCTGTCGTGGAACTTAGAGTCTAGCAGGGAAGAAAGTACAAAGGGCCAAGTGACAAAAGAAAAACACAAACAACAATGTTTTGGGAATGTAAGATAGGGAAGCTGTCCAGAAGGCTTGGTACTTGTGCTGGATCTTGTAAAATGCTTGTTCCATGAGCAAAAATAACATGTAGAGACAGTATTAATTCAAAAGAATGATATGGACATATAGTATGCTTAGGGCATAGTGATGGTTAAATTCAGTAGAAGGAATTCCAATTTATGGTTTAAAATCATATTCTACTAGCAACAACTATTGAGTTGGTTACAATAATAAACCTGCAGAAATGTGGAGGAGTTACAGCTTCCTTTCATGATGGAACATGGGTAAAATTTAGAAGCAAACAATTTAATTATAACTGGATAGTTATCATTACAAGAATGGTCTTGTAACTTGGCTCAAAATATTTCTATAAATTCCTCCCTTTCAGAGGTAGAGTTTACTTCAAAATTACAATTAATCATAAGATAGCTAATAATAACTAGTAATAGTAAGAACTATTTAAACAAACACCAATGACAAAACTACAAGAAAAAAAGAATAATCCCCTTGTTTTAGAATTTGGAGACCATGTGAGTTTTTCATCAAAATATGGAAAATCTCTTAAAGAAAGAAAATCAGGTAGAGTATCTGGATTGTTGGAAGAAAAGAGGGCATTGAACTTGGTTTGGGGTGTTTTTAGTTTGATATGCTAGCAGAAGATTTTGGTATCTTGCTATCAGCTAGGAATGCAGAGACAATACTTGAACTGTAGATTTAACCATCACAGTGTTATGATGGTGAACATACTTGTGCAAAAAAGAAAAAATAGAGAAAATATTAGTATGTAATGATGGCAAAATATTTACAGCAGGACACAATGAAGGAGTACCCAGAGAGCTCTGCGATACACTCTAGAGGTGACACTAATCATAACCAAATGACAAAGTCACGGATTTATCATAGTTTTATACTGTCGATCCCAAGGACCTGCTCTTATCAATGGCATATATCTTTCTATCACTTTTCTACAGAACCTTCCAATGCTTTAATTTCAACTAATCTCATAAACTAGCCCACAGTCATGGATGGTACATTTTATTCACTTAAATTTTGCCAGGAGATTTCTAGGGAATTATTTTGGGG